CCGGACACAGACCCCCTCCCCTCTCTCCTACTCTCTCCTCCTCCCCCCCCTTCCCTTCTCCTCAGGTGTCTTCCACAAGCCTGGTCACTCTCTTCTGCACCCCTCCCCCACAATAAAGCTCTGGGTTTTGTCGTGTTTCATTGACCTTTCCTCACAGAGTAAAAGCACTGTATCTAAAACCAACAGCCCTCTTCCAAAACCATAAAATAGAAAATAAATTTCAGTTTGGGGTTATGTGTCCCACTTTTACAAAGAAAGGAAGTGTGGCTCAGAGAATCCAACCAAACTACAAAGCCAGGGGTTCACATCCTCCGAGTTCTGGCTCAGAACAGAACACCACCACATTCAGCAGTACGGCACTCTACAAACCAAAATGGCCATACAGTACTCCAGGATGCCCTGGGTTCCTACCTCTGGGGCTCTTCTGTGTCTGCAGGCTAAAAGGTCTGAGCACAGCCCTGGAAAGAGACCCCAGCATGTGGTCCTGGTCCTGAACTGTGTGGATTAACATGTCAATGATTGCTGAGATTGTGGCCAAATTCCTGGAACACTCACTAGAGTCTAGAGTCCAGGACCCCGGGGGTTGTGGAAGATTAACTCACTCAAGGAAGAACTTCCTGGCTGTGCACACAGAGAAACCTGCAGGGGCCTCACCGAGATTGACATCACCCCCAATACCTGCTTTCTCAAAAACAACGAGAAAAGGATGCATGGGCACGCACCCCCGCCCACTTCCCAAACCAGCTGCCTCACACACACTAATTTGTTAGCCTCCGTGTGTTCTCTGCAACCTTTGGGCATGGAATGTCTTTATCTGCAGGGCTGTGGCTGCTGAGAGCCTGAGACCTGCAAGACTTTCATTTTTTTCATGGCTTCCGGAACAAATCACCTCACACTCAGAGCTGACAATGTTGATCTTTTGAAACTGGGTGTCAGAAGTCTCAAGTGGGTGAGCAGGGTTCTGTCCTTCTGGAGGCTAAGGGGAGAATCCCCTTCCTGGCCCCTGGGCTTCTGGCTGCTTCCTCACTCCCTGGCCCCAGGGTCAGCTGACCTCCTCAGCTGACCTCCTCAGCTGACCTCCTCCCCTCCTCGTGTCTTCTGCTTGGCCTTACGTTGGGTTCACCTGAACAGTACTTACTGACCTCTTTGTGTTAGGATCCTAATCGCATCTGCCATTCCTGGCTAACAGAGGCCACAGGTTCCACAGATTAGCACGGAGCCTTCTTTGGGCGACTGTCAGCAACAGTCTGAGGCAGGCTCCTCCCCTGCCTCCAAGCGAGCTTGCTGCGGGCTCTTTGCTGGGAATTGCCAGGGCTCCGTGTTCTGATCCAGGCAACATGACTGGTGCCCTCAGCTCACTTCCTACCGTTCCTCAGCTCTGCTGAGACAGCAAACCACTACGGTTATTTTCACCAGAGGCTCCACTCCTCAGTAGACAGGAATCTTGGGGGACTTCAGGAGGGGAGGGTTGATTTGGGCTCACCATTTGAGGTTACAGTTATAGCTGGGAAAGGGAAATGTTTCTGCACCCCATAAGCCTCTCCACTGACGCAGCAATCCAAATCAGACCAAAGGAGACTAAATTGAGAAAAAGCCCGTGTTTAATGGGTAAAATGCTCCCAAATGAGTTTCCAAACCCCCAGAGAGGAGACGGGGAAAGAGAGACGGAAAAAGCAGGTGTCTGTTTTCTGGGATGCAGTTTGAATACCCTGTGGAGTGGTCTTGAGCATCTCTGGGGGAGGAGCCCTGTTTGGCAGGACTTTCTGAGATGAAGCAGGGTTTGAGGAGAGAGATGGGGGAGGAGGGCTGAGGTGGAGCTTCCACCAGAACATTCCAGACTCTTTGGGTATGGGGGTGCCAGGGGCTGAGGTGGAGCTTCCACCAGAACAGAAAGCACAGGCAAGAGTCGAGCTTTTGCTTGCAGTCAGGAAGCAGGGAGGTGCTGCCGACATTCAGCTCCTTTCTCCCTTTATATGCAGGCTAGGACTCAAGCCCTGAAGTGGCACCACCCCATTTAGAGTGGGTTTTACCCCCTCAGTTAACCCAACCTAGAAAACCCCTAGAGGCTTGTCTTCTGGTTCACTCCAGACCCTGGTTCACTCCAGATGCCAATGGTTAACAAACCACAACAGGTGGATACTTAAGATCCTCGAGCCTGGCCTGAGCCCAAGGTGTTGTGTCTCCTTTGACTCCAAGGAAGCATTTCCGCCCTGGTCCCAACAAATTGTGAGCATGTCTGTTTTTCCCGAGAAACAATTAAACTCTCAGCTCCTGGGATTGGCCTGTACTTGTTTTTCATTAAAGAAAGCCTTCACTCTGAACAATCTTTATTTAAGCCTTTCTTTAGATCTAGGCTGGAGGTGGCTGATATGCCAAGACCAGAAGTTGTAAGACCAGTTTGAATACTTCTTAAGTCTTGCATGAATGGTCTTGCACCTTTCTAAGGTGTGTGTGTGTGTGTGTGTGTGTGTGTGTGTGTGTGTGTGTGTATGTGCACGCGCGCACGGAGTGGTTCTCTTTGGGGATTGCCTAAGACCATTGGAAAACTCAGATATTTACATTATGATCATAACAGTAGCAAAATCACAGTTATGAAATAGCAACAATAATAATTTTATGGTCGGGGAGACCACCACATGAGGAACTGTGTTAAAGGGCCACAGCTTTAGGAAGGTTGAGAACCACTTTTCTAGACCAAGATAAAAGTGGCCAGGAAAATGAATGAGACAGTCCAGATTGCAAACAAACATTTCCCCTTGGCTAGGAAGCTGGCTCAGCAGGTAAAGTGCCCACCACACAGTATGAGGAGCTGCATTGGATCCCTAGAATCCAGGTGGGCACAGGTGTAAGCCAGTGCTGGGTGGTCCCCTGCAACTTGCTGGCCAGCCAGCCAGCCAAGGCTAACAACTGTCAACCCCAGGTCCCAGGTCTTGGTGAGCGACACTTTCCAAAAACACAAGGTAAGCACTGGGGAGATGACTCAGTGTAATAAAGGGTCACTATGAAAGCGTGAGGATTTGATTTGGGTCCCAGCACCCATGTAGAAAGCCAGCATGGTGGCACTCACCCACAACCCCAGTTCCAGGGACGTGCAGACAGGTGGATCCCTGGAACTTGCTGGCCAGCCGGCCTGAGTAAGGGAGCTCCACATTCAGTGAGAGCCCCTATCTCAAAAAAGTAAGGTGGAAAGTGATGAAGAGTGATACCTGGTGTTGACCTCTGACCTGTACATACATGCATACACATTTGCACATGCACCCTCACACACAAGAGCATATAAACAACACACACACACACACACACACACACACACACACACACACACAAAAGTGAAGGTGTGTTAGTTACATGGCGGTGCTCTTACCCTGCGAGGAAATGTCATGAAACATGACAGAATCCACTAACAAGAGTTTTATTAAGATAAGAGAAAAGGACAGGGGTGCTCAGGCCCTGAGGAATGACACCTGAGGTTGACCTCTGGCCTATTCATGCATGCTCACTCAAGTACATGCACACCGACTCTTTCTCTCTCTCTCTCTCTCTCTCTCTCTCTCTCTCTCTCTCTCTCTCTCTCTCTCTCTCTTTAAAAATGGGCAGCAGAATTTATTAAGATATAAATTGAGGAAATACACTCACGATTACAGAATGGAGTAGACAGCTGAAGTCGTCCTCTGATCTGACCGAGAGCGAATCCACCTTGCAGGCAGGAGCAGGGAGAAGGGGCATG